GGGGGCTCCCTCGGTCTGTCACTGTCCCACCTGCATTTTTATTCACAGAAATACAGCTGACTGAGAAGAGATTCAAATAAAATTAGATGCAGTTCACCGATATAAATGTCTCAAATCATTTCTTAACATTGTTTTGCTGCTTCGAGAGATTAAGCATGGCTATAACTATACTTAGCAGGCCTGGAATTCACGCAATCACTTGAAGTGCTTCGCGATGAGAATTAGAATAGAACTCATGAGCAAAAACTTTTCGTTCATAATTTTTGATGCCTTAAATTGAGCAGCAATGTAAACCGGACAGATAGGTGGGTCTACTACTAAACATTATGAGATGATTTCACTAAATTTAGGTTCAATATGACAGCGCAAGAAAAACAATGACAAAGCATTGGCTGACTGCCAAGGGTAGGATGAAGGAATAATCAGAAGGAAATCAGAAGTTTTGTCGAAAAGTACAGTTTGCACGCGCTCATTCATGAGCTAAACTCCCCAAATTGCAAAAAAGGACAAATATGTATCCAACAAAATGGAGTTTGCGAACTCGTAACGGAGACATGAACCGATGCAGAGAGTAATGAGTACATTTTGCACTCTACTGATGAAGCATTAAGTATGTTTCTTGTTCATAAAGGTAAAACTATCAAAATATGATTAGCTTCGAATGTTTTCAAACCACACCTGTTCGCTTCTTTCGTTAGTTTGAGCGCAGCCTCTCGTTGTTTGTACCAATCCTCCAATTCTTTTTTCGCTGCAGCACGCAGCTCGTTCTTTTTCTTCTCCTCGGCCTCATCTAAATTTGACGCATTGCATGCAACATTGCTGAACTGTGGAGCGTTTAGAGAAAACCTAAAGGGCTATCCACACTCTCATCGGACATTATCATCTAACTTACGATATTGCACTAAATTCTAAAGTATATGTGCAACATTGTCCTCTGTTAACATTTAAACTGATCTAATTGTTGTGACCATTTCAAGATAAAGGCTGGTTTGATGAGGTAAACTCGAAAGCGTAGATATCTAGCAGTGCCGCTTCAGAAAATCTTACAAAGTCATAAGCAGCATATGAAGAAGCTCGAGAGCGAAGTGTGGCGCGCAAATTCAGATAACAATGACCATACAGAATTTTTTAAAGGAAATATATGCAGAACGCTGTCTTTAAAAGAACGTGTCAATGAAATCTGCATTCAGAAGCTATCAAGGATTGCAGTATTAACTGAAGTGGCCATCTGTAATGAAATGTAAATGCTGAGATAGTAACAGAGGCCATGTTCAGAGCTATGGAGTTAGAAACAGAGAACAAAAGTGCTAGTGGCAAAGGGCGGACGACCGTCTCCGAACTCAACTACTCCGCTACTGCGGTGGTTACCCAAGGTTAAAACTTCCAATTTTCAAGTCTCACAAACTGCTCTTTTGAGATCAGCACTTATGACTGATTTTCCATCACATAAATCTCACATTACATCATCACTTCAACTAAAAGCGCACCCCTTGCAAGATATACTACGCAAAAGTCGGAGTTATTGCGAGCTACTACTTCAAAGCATAGTGCAGCGACCAACTATGAAACCCACTCCAGCTTCTCTTTCACTAGTGCACGCATTTGAGCTGGTTTAAACTCCTACACTTTCTATTTTTCCCTTGCAGACGTGACACGCAAATCCAACTATGCTAACATCTTAACTAAGACATATTTTTTCTTAATCAACTTGAAACACTTTCTAAATATGCATTCCTAGCTGCGGCGCAACATTTTCAAGCGAGTAACGTGCTTTTAATGAGAAATTGGTATACTACTCAAAATAGGAATGCTGACTGTAGGCAAAGATCTCCTCGAAAAGGTGCCGGAATATCGAAATAACACCAAGTCCAGTCCTCTTTCACTGACAAAGAACTTAACGCAAGTGTATTAGATGTTGGATGATCATGCCTTGATGCCAGCAATTCGATGAGTACGCAAACTTTGCAACGAAAACGTCGATAATCGGCCCCAAACTGACGCGCCACAGCTGGGAGCAGAATGGAAACCAGCATTTCAGGCTGATTCAGAATATGTCTTTTTCATGGGAGAGGCTAAGTTAGGTCTCTTCCTCTATATACAATCCAATGGTGGGACGTCTTCGCCTGAGAAAAAAAGTCTATAGGCACGTGTTTTGACACGTGTTGACGTTCACAAATTAACATGCGTGAATGACGCTAATAGCAGCAATGAAAAAAATCAACATGGATAACACAAATTCAGATACATACCTTTCTTTTCCAGAAGCACTTTTTGTTGCTCTCGCCACCTACGGATATTCTCGGCCTCTATGCGCGGAACAGGTACTGGTGATGGACCTTTTGAGCTCGCGGCCGACTGGTGGCTATTGACGCCATTTCCGTTAACAAGCGGGACTAGAAGGAGATACGTAGAACCGCACTCGAAGTCATTCATGGGGTAAGTGAGAGTTGCATTATTCAAGTGATCAGCGATAAAAAATGAAAATAAACAAGTTTGCATACCTGGTGGCGTTGGTTGATAATCCATTCCAGCTAGGTCAACACCAGAATCTCCACCTCCAACCGATGGGGGATCTATCAACGCCGCGATCTCATCAGCTGCAGGGGCAGGCGGTGGTTCTGCAGCAGCTAAAATCTGATACATTCCATTTCACAACCTGATTGGTTTCAATAAAACAAATACAGAAACTTGTAGTTCATGCGCAAACGAAATCCAACGAAACATACCGGCTGGGGCGGCCGCAGCTCCTCCAACTGGTGCACCATCGATTTCCGCGAATAAATCTTGTTCCCTGGCCAAAAAATCTGCTACTGGATCCGCCATCTCGCTATAAAAGATGGTTAGTTCTAAAACAGGAAACTGCTA